ACTTTTATCCAGGAACTCTCCAAAGCAAACTACAAATGCTGTCCAAGAAGAAGGACCAGAACCCAAATTCCCTCTATCCCCTCCCCTGGTGAGTTTTCTCACAACTAGGTTTGAGACTCATACTCCATCTCATTGCACCTACATTCTGCATGTTGACACAACTTCAGCAGGGGGAGTGGAAGATGCTTCTCCATGCTTCACACGCATACACAGAATGATGCACACAATATCATAGTGAGGACGCTGCTGGGAGAAGGGAGATATGGGTATGAATCTCCTTAGGCAGTGGAGAGAATTGAACCTTCCTGTGTACTACTGTACTGGTCTCTACTTCCTAGGTGAAGTCTATAACCAGCAGTAGCATAACTAGGGCAGGGCATCAAAGACAGTCATCTCAGGCACCAGTGGGGTTGGAGGACAAAAAAATATGGCTTTTGCCACAACTGCCTGATCATGACTGCAGTGGCAGCAGCAACTGGAAGCCACTGCTGTCCCTGTTTATGGCAGCCACCCAGGGTTCTCGGCCAGGTTCTTATGCTGCTGATAACCACTAGGCTATTATTTGAAAGGGGACCAGCACTTCCTTCTCCAATTGCATTCTTAAAGGAAATGTTGAGAGCCACTGTATTTTTAAGGATCCCAGTTCTGTAAAGTGTGCATTACACATGCTCTGAGTGTGTCTACTAGAATCATAGAATCAAGTTCGCTGATGACACCAAGCTGTGGGGTAAAGTGAATACACCAGCAGGCAGGGACCGCATCCAGGCAGACCTGGATAGGTTGGAGAAGTGGGCGGATCTGAACAGGATGCGGTTCAACAAGGACAAGTGCAGAGTGCTGCACCTGGGGAGAAGGAACCAGCATTATGGTTATAAGTTAGGGGCTGACCCTCTTGGCAGCACAGAGGCAGAGAGGGATCTTGGAGTCATGATTGACTCCAGGATGAATATGAGTCACCAATACAATGAAGCAATAGGCAGAGCCAGCCGCACCCTGTCATGCATCAACAGGGCCATCACTAACAGGTCCAGAAAGGTCTTGCCCCCCCTCTATGTGGTGCTGGTCAGGCTGCAGCTGGAGTACTGTGTCCAGTTCTGGGCGCCGCACTTCAACAGGGACGTGGAGAACTTGGAGAGGGTCCAGAGGAAGGCCACGTGTGTGGTTGGGGGCCTCCGTGGCCAGCCCTATGAGAAAAGGCTGAAGGACCTGAATCTCTTCAGTCTCCACAAGAGGAGACTGAGGGGGGATCTTGTGGCTGCCTACAACCTTATCAGGGGCCACCAGCAGGGACTCGGGGAAAGTCTGATTTCACCAGGGCCCCCCTTGGAGTCACTAGGAACAATGGCCACAAGCTGAGGGAGGATAGGTTTAGGTTAGATATTAGGAAGAACTACTTCACTGTAAGGGTGGCCAGAGCCTGGAATAGGCTTCCCAGAGAAGTGGTGCTCTCACCTTCCCTGGAAATCTTCAAGAGGAGACTGGATAGGCACCTGGCTGGGGTCTTATGACCCCTGCTACCCCCAGTGCTCGTTCCTGCCCTGGCAGGGGGTCGGGCTCGATGATCTGTCTAGGTCCCTTCCGACTCATTGATTCTATAATTTTGAAGTCAAAAGCTGCAGTGTCTCTGGAATTTAGGTTCTTCCAGGACTAAGCAGTAACTGAGTGGGGATTTTCAGACCATAACTTTAGATTTGCATATGTCCTGCTGAAGTGCTGCTTTAGTCTCAGATATCCTTCTGTGCATCTGACGCACAATCCTTAAAGTTATGGTATAAACATCTCTTCAGGCCCCAAGAGGATGTGTGCAGGTCTGTCTCATTAACAGTAATGACAATGACAAATGTACATTTTCAGCTTCAGTAGAGCAAACCACCATACTGTGTACGTTATTACTTAACATGTTACAAGAAGATAACAGAGCACTGAGTACAGTTTATTTCCTGAGAAGAGGTCCAGGTGCCGTGGAACTTCCTAAAGAAAGTGCCTTCCATTCCAAGATATTCCTCTGTTCCAATCTGCGCATAGTAGTACACAGGATGACAAACTGCAAGTCATTCTCCATTTTAGCAAAACTTGCTCACTCCACTGGCCAGCCTGCACACAGGAAGTCAATGTGCTAAGAAAATACCTGTAGGTTAAAGAAAACCACAGACAGTCTGGGTCAGTTTTCTTTAAAAGTAGTAGGCAAGTTACATTGATTTTAGAAAAAAAAAATGTTTATTTCCCTTTTCTACAAGTCATTGGTTTACTATTTTTATGTTCTTTAAGTTCAAGTTTTAAGCAACAAAAACCACTTTTCATGCAAAGTAGCAAAATGAGCTGTTCAGAACCGAAACAGAACGTGAACAAGCTTAAGACAAGCCGTGTTCAAGTTTAATGAGCCAAATCAAAACAACATCTCATACCCAGTATTACAGTATCACATGTAACTGTGATATGCCACTGCCAGTGCCGTGAAATAATAATGGTCTAGATTTAATAATGGACTTGAATTAGATATCTGGGATGCTGGGATTAGATATCTGGGATGCTGGGATGGAAACCTAAAACCTTAGGGGTCTAAGCTCCTTGTACAATACGTGGAGAGAGTCAGGTACCTCAGAACAGGATCTAGAGTGGAGAACAGGCATGCTGCTACTAAGCTCACTGGTAGAAAATGCAGAAAATGGAGATGAATCTTAAACATTGCCCTTCTACGAATGTATCACTCAGGATCTATAGCCCAGAACCTTGTCCTGAAGGGAGGTCCCCATACCATTTCTTGTAAAAAAAAACTATGCAGGGTTCACTCTTTTCTTTTAAAACCAAATTAGAGGTGGTAATGACTTATTTAAAAAATAGCTGAGTGGTTGGAGCAACCCAGGGTTGAATTCCCTCCTCAACCAGAGGGGTTTAAAAATTCCATCTCCTGACTTCCAGATTAGTTTCCTAACCATCAGAATATAGGCTGCCCCAAGCCTTACTCTGTTCTTCAAAAGTTAGTGTGTTAGAGCCTACCTTCAAGAGAAGGTTCAGGACTTTGAATCCCAGGTACCTATGGGAAAGCTTCTAGTTAACAGCATATAAGACTTGAACCTGCCCTAAATCTTCCCTATTAGTTATCCATAGTTGGCTGCATACTGACTGTACTGACTTGAGGCAACTCCCTGCTCAGCATGCTGGTCAACTCAGACCACTATTCTGAAGCAACTTCCTGCCTTTGCACACTGTGTATAGAACCTAAGCACTTTAATGTGCGGTTATAGATCCCACTCTGAGGCCAGCCACCCAAATGGTGCTAACTCTTAGGTGTTTCAGTTCTTTACCTAATATGGTCTATAGATATAACGTTTTCTCAATTGTCATGCGCCTCTTTGGAGCACCTCTTACTTAGCCTGCTGGCTTAATCTCCGCTTTGCTTCTTTGCATGAGGCTGTTTTATAGAGCCATTCAGCTGTGGCTTACATATTTCAGGCTGCTGAATAAACTCATCCCTGTAGATACCACTGGGAGCCCATATATGTACAAAAAGGAGAAGCACAAAAAATACTGAAAGAATTACAGGCCAAGAGATGGTTGCGTGGGGGAGGAGGAGAGACTTCTTCTATCTTATACACAGAGAAGAGAGGAAAGAGATGCAATCAGAAATCAAGAAAGGGAACAGTCAGCAGCCCGGAAGTGAGGAAAACAATACAGAGGGCTGTGTGAGAGTCACAAAGTGGTGACATGTATAGATGAAACACCAGCACAGATCTCAGTACCATGTTAGGGCGTTATGCTATATTTATCTAAAAGCTCTTTGAGAAATGATTCAGTAAAGATACAGCTCTTCAATCTTTTAAATCTGAGAACTACTCGTTCATGTACTAATAACTAATTTCAGCATCATTTAAACTCTGGAAGCTGTAGGGTACCTAGAGCTCACCAAAAAGTCTTTCCCTTCTGCTCACTGAAGCACATTACACTTAAGACATGATTAACCAGTTAATCATATCTTGAGTTGTTGCAATTAATGGTATAATAAAACAAGGAATAAGCCACAAAGTTATCACACAAAAAATATGTGATAACTTTGTTGCTCATTTCTATTGTGCCATTAATTGAGCATGTGGCCAGCCTGGGGCTCCCAGGAGCAAGGGGCAGCCGGGGCAAAATGTTATGGGGGAGCACAAATTTATAAATGTTCCATATATAGCATCTAACTATTGGGGGGGGGGTGTTGTCTTCTAATCAAGGCTGTCTTCTCTCCAAGTAAATACAGTATATTAGACTTGTTTTTAAAATCCCAGTACTTTCCTTGACAATGATTTACAGTAATGAATAGCCTAAGCTGAAGCACGAAACAGAGAAGTGGTTTTCTTTTATTTATCCTTAAGTTTACCTGCTATTAATTAAAGACATTGCCCTATTTTTGTACGATAGAACCAAAGATAAAAAAGTGAAGGTCAGTTTTCTCTAAATCCATCAGGCTGCTGGAGAGTTAGCCATGTTAGTCAAGTCAGGCAGAAGGCAGGATAGATATGCACCTTAGACTAACTAAATATGATGTATATAGAGCACAACGTTTTGTGAACTCAAGTTTGTTTCATCAGGTGCTATGAAAGAGCAGCATAGAGCAGAATAACTTCACATATGGTTCAGGAGAGATATATATACAACCGTACATATACACAGGAGCCCTGTCCTCCATGTTAGTGCCCTTGCAGGCCTGCAGGACCCAAAATGCTTGATGCAGAGCCCCTGAACAAATTAATGTTCATGTTGTGTAGAGCACAGCATTCTGTTGCTCCCTAGCAAATAGCTCCACATGGTGGAATTTCTGTTTTATCATTTTTCCTTTGAAAAAAAAAAATTCAAAATTCCCTTTAAAATGCACTAAACATTTTTTAGAGAAGTCCTCAGAAGCTCTGGTACAGATTTTGCCCTGTTTCTGTTGGAAAAGCTTATGTAAAATGATTTACCTAACATGGATGCTTGCTAGGAGCACAGAATAACCCTTGATATTTCTCTCTTCCTTTCAGAATCAGGGAAAGGGACAACAAAGGATCCTATGCTCTCTGCGTGCTTAGTGATGGAAAAGTACTGCATTATCGTATTGACAGAAACAAGACAGGAAAGCTCTCTATACCAGATGGAAAAAAGTTTGACACTCTCTGGCAGGTCTGTTAGATTTGAATCATTTGGCTATCTGTCATCATGTTTTTATACAACCCACTTAGTTTGTATTTTACTTCACTGTGCATCAACAATCTTTAGCTAAATGGCCATATGTTTTGCATATTAATTTATGCTGTATTTCAGACTTTTAGTGACTTTTATCCTTTGGACTATAAAAAAGTTGGGGAGGTAGGATTTTTTATTATCAGAGCAATGTAGGTTGTACAGGTTTTAATGTTTTTTTTCCCCTTTAAATGTGCCATTACTGCTTGGCTTCAAATTGCTTTAGTTATTCACTGGATTCCACATTTCTTAGAATGGAAGAGCATTTGCGTTTGTAAATGGTAGAATTAAATACTAGTAGTACAATACTGTGGCATTTGTGTAATTCCCCTGATGATACTCAGGAGACAAAACCGGTCAGTAAGCACAAAGATGATAGAATGCTAGGCACACACAATCCTTATTAGCTCCTATAGTCTCTAGATTGCAAATTTAAAATAAACCCTCTTGGCTAGAGTTACCAAGAGTGTCTGCCTAAATCCTGGCGTAGATTAATCAATCAAGGAATGGATTGCTGATAATAATATAGTCTGTTATAAAGAAGAGCCAGTGCAAGGTATATGTACAGGTAAATTGAAAATACTAAGGCAGGTGAAACACCTGCAGAAATTTTCTGTGTCCTGGAAAAATACATTAAGGCAAATACATTACAGTTATAATTGTAAATCTATAATTGTAAATCTATAACATAAGTTCTTGACTATATATAATAACTGCTGGCTTTTACTCCAGTTGTCCACATCCCTTTTCTACTTAAGTTAAAAATGACAACCCCCCCC